AGTGAGCCTGGTAATGATACGTCTTACCTACATTTCCAGAGCCATTCTAAACCTTGTCGGAGTATAGAACAAAACATCAACTTATGGATCCATCTAATAGAACTTCTTAGAGGCAGTATGGAGTTACCTGAATGACGGTACGATCCTTCCCTTTGTTAGCTACGTAGTTTATGGAGTTTGAGTTATCTTAACTGTTACCCAAAATTGAGGCTTAATACTACTCTCAAAATTTAACTTTATATGCTCATTTACAAAAAAATATTTTATAGGGTGAGTTAATACTTAAAAAAACCCTCTTCGAGGGGCACTTGGACTTCACTTTATTAGACTGACATGCTTCTTAAAAACTTTTATGCTTTTTTGATGAAAAAATATAATTTCAAAACTCTTTTAAAATAATGCACTTGAAGTTAAAAATATATCTTATTGAAACTCTTCTAAAATCAAGCTCTTTAAACTAAAGATAATAATACTTTCTTGAAATACTTCTTGAAAATAAAGCACTTGAAGTAAAATATACTTTCTAAACTCTTCTTAATCATGCACTTTAAATTAAAGATAATAACACTTTCTTGAAATACTTCTTTAAAATTTTGAACATACTTTATTCTTGAAAATAATGAATAGGAAATACCACGAAAAGATTTTTAAAACATTGATTAGAAAGGGTCCATGTGGTAGTATAAGAATGAACCAACAATCAAGAATCATCAATAAATATGAAGTACAATAATTGTGATAAAAAATCCAGAATCAAAGATAAAAAATAGCGATAATTCAAAAATCATGATCCTTGGGGGTGGGTGGGGTGGAGGTGGGGTTTAGAAACCTTAACTTTGATCGTACTAACTAAAATTGTAGATGTTGTGTGTGAGCAAGAACTAAGTTCTTCACTATGATAGCTCTACACACCTTAAAATCACGCTGAATCTTGCGGAAGAACCCTAACTTGGAGAATAACGTCAAGAAAATTTTACTTGAAATTCTTGAATAAATTTCTTTAAAATCCTATAACCAAGAATTAAGATTTCTATTGATGATTCACTAATGTATGTAGGATTTAAATTGGGAAGAATGAAATTATTGGAGATGGACTTACCTTGAAATAGAATCTTGAAAACGATTTGAAAGAATTTTGTTTGAAAGTTCTATGCTTTGATTTTCCTTAGGATTTTGTCTTTTATGTTTGAGAGAGAGAGAGGAGTAGGAAGAATAAAAAGATGAAAATCTGATTTTTAAGGCCATTTAAGTGTTAAGAAATTCGTTTAGGATATTCCTAGAGGTAAAACGACAAAAATTACTATTATTAATATCTTCCTGTTGGCCTAAACGTCACTACACTCCATCAGGTTTGTAAATTGATGATAACTCTTTACTTCGAATTCTGTTTGATACAAATTTGGTGGAATTGGAAAGAAGACTCAAATATATTTAGTTTGATAAGTTATGGGCTACCTAACTTTTAGTATTCTAAGAGATACGATCACTTGAAATTGACCTTTGTAAAATCTTACATCGTAACTCAATTGGTATGGAAACTTAGAATTCAACTTTGTCTTGGTGGATTCTTATGACCTTAAAATATCTCCAAATCAATTAAAATACTAAAGAATTGACCTTAACACCTATGCACAATTAAAAATCACCCGGTATAACCTTATACACATGGAAAACAATTTGATCTTAGTTTACAAATTTCAGGGTATTACAATATATCCCACTTGAAATCATTCATCCTCGAATGATGGTCAAGTTGCACTAAAAGAGAAATGAGCTACTTCTACTATTTTTGTGACTTTTGAAATTCCCATTAGCAAAGATAGAAAAGGTTTGTATTGAGAGGTGGAAACTCAACTAGAGTACGTTTCTCACGAACGTTCACGTAAGATTTCCAGATTACGGGTCATGACATGAAGTTCCTAGAAATCACAATAGAAATAAGGCTCACATCAAACGTTCTTATCAAAATTTCTCATAACCTTCTTGAGAAAGAAATATGGGCACAATTTGTGTCTCATATTCGAACATAAATAACTCACAAATCTTAAGACTCTGAGCCATCTGGAAGTGGTCCATTAAACATGAGTGATATAGATTAAGACATTGTTCATACTCTACCTCAAAACTATTTGACATGAAATAGGGATTTCTTGGGCATGAAAAAAGAATAGAACTACTATGCCTTAAGTGATTTGACTAATAGCTTTTAAGCTTAGCAAACTATTCACTGCGCTACTCCTTGTGAACACTACACTTCTACCTATAGCTCCTCCAATGGTACATATGTCTGCTCCTATGAAGGTCTGAAGGTCAGAGTCTTAACTGCATGCTCTTAATGTGTTCAAGCCTAACTTGGAGTCACAAGGTGCACCACATAAGGTGGTCATATTAATCTAAACCATTGGATTCACGATCTATAGCTCTGTAGGCATTTTCATCTCAAGAATACAACTTTTTCTTACAAATTCACTCAACAAACCTCGAGTTCTAATTAAGTCATTTACATGTATATCAACACCCTATTCAAGCCTAGTATTATAAACACTCCATGAACTTCTAAGTAACCAATTCTTCTAAGAAATATCCATCTTCCTATCATCTCAACCAACTAGAAATTCATGTATTACTTATAAGGGAACACACAAAATATTTTGATCTAGCTACTACATATAACCAATCGTCATTTCAATTTTTTTTACATGTGGAATAAACATACTGTGATCTTCACAATAAAGAGTGTCTACCCTCTCATCTAAACCAACATTCAACTTCTATCAACAACTCTATCAAAACTGAAGTAGGACTACTTGAAGGCCTTTGAGAGAAAAGATCATAAGCACGAATCATTCAAGAAGTTTGATCTAAGAATATGCATTGCGTAGCATTAATTCACTAGAAATTGAAGGTATATCATTAGTTCATGGGACTAAGCATATTCAGAAACATGAGTGCATACATTATGAATTGTATATCGTAAGACTGACATTCACCATTTCATAGAGTAAGATTGAGGTCGTTCATGAGTTGAATCCGGGCCTCTTATTCTAGGAAATGAGCATAGATGTTAATCTTTCTAAAGTAAAATAAATGAGAATGGATCAAGGGAACAACGTTGATATGTGAGATACGAGAAGAGTTTCATAACAATAAAAATCTGAGGAATACTCTAAGAGTATGAATGAACTGCTACTCTTTCTAAATACATCACCTATCATCTCTCCCTGAGGTCTAAAGCAGACATTCTATGTTTGTTGACTTATTTCATATAATTTTCTAAACTTGATTTTACTCAAGGATACAGACAAATAACACATAGCAAATTATGAGCTTAGAGCTTCACGCGACAATATACTATACTATCTTGGGTGCACATCTCTCACCCTAAGGCTTAGAGTCCTTATATTCCTAAATATCTTTCCATCACTTACTACCTCACAAAGGGAGCACATATACTTTCTAGTTGCCTCGCCATTCTCATTACAGGTCTATTAACGTAAAATCCTTCACACATTTAACTTTCATCCACCACCTAGACCTGATCTATACTACCAAGATAGCATACTTCAAGTCACCTAATCAATAACTCTCTATGTGCTAGTAACATGAAATCTACACAAATTGACTACACTTTAGTCAACACATGAGGGCCTATCAGTCTTCTATTAACTTACTGGAACATGACTGCAACTACATACTTTATTCCATCACTATCACCACACTTTAAGATTATTAGATTTCCAACTCAAAACTTATAATTCGGGGCAATTTTACTACTGATGGCTCATAAAGATCACACTATCTTTTGAGTGACCACTACCCAAGCGCTCTAGACCATACTTTGCCCTTAAAGGTATCATCTATATAAAGGTTCAAGAAGGGGTTTGATAGTATTACATAGTATTTGTTTAACACACAATTTAGGTGAACACGAATAAGAGTGCACCTTTTTGAATCAATTGGAGTGATGTGCACTAATGGTATCTTCTCGAGCAGTTGTGCAGTCTCTTAACATTCTATTAGCTCCATCTGAGGGGCCATATTGGTAGGAATAAGAACTTTACTATGCCAGGTACCTGGAAGATGAGGCATAGTCGGAGAAGTTAGAACAATGCACGAATCTTCACAAGTTTCTTAAGAGACAACTCTATTGCACAATCTAGATTATGAAAGGAAGGAAAATAAATAAATAAATAAATATATATATATATATATAAATAAATAAATAAATAAATAAATATATATATATATATATATATATATATATGTTCATTTGTACATGTATAAAATGACATGTTATAATGAATGAACGGATAAGCTGTAAAAACATATACAAATTGAAATTTTTTTTTGGTTGAAACACATTTGAGCGCATACCTGGAATTAAGTTAAGAGGGAGAATGAGAGAATTCAAAATTCAATTTTGATATGGATGAGAGATTTTAGGAGAAAAATTAGTCGAGTAAAAGAGAAGAGATAAATTATGTTTTATATAAAAGGTATAGAAATCACATTCTTGATATGAGTTTGTTTGGTGGGTTCCGAAATTAAGAGCAAATTTCATTAAAATATAGCTGCAACTCATAATTATGTGAAACTATAGCTTTATTAAATAATACAGTCTTAATGTTTGCTAATTTGCATAATTATTCCTTCAATATTTGGGTCATTTTGGCCAAGAATAGGTTCCATTTGGTTGAAACTAACTCAGCTGTAAGTGTTGGACCGTTTTCTTTTCTCTCTTGTGATATTTGGCTTCTTATTTGACTAGAATATCGTTTAGTCAGATTTTATAATAATAATAATAATAATAATAATAAAAAAAAAAAGTCCATATTGTACTACCAATAGGAAAATAACAAATCATCTGTTATTAGAAATTCAAATAGTAAAAATTGAGTGTCAACAATTATGACATTGAAACTTGTTCTTTTAGTGGTTTTTTAACATAATTATATTGTTGTAGGTTTAGATGAACTTCTAACACAATTATATTATTACAGGTAGAGATGAACTTTTATGACGCGGACAATTCATCAACTTCGTCTGTCATCTCATGTTCAGCCTCCATATGCACTTCAGATGAGTGCAGCGAAACAAATCAATGTGCTTACTCCTTGCATTACGCAGATAATAGTGGCACATCAGGCTATTTTGTATCAGATTTGTTTTACTTTGACAAAATTATGAGGACCTCGTTGATTTCCAAGTCTTCAACATCCATTATTTTCGGGTGAGTATTCTTTTATATGATTATTCACATATTCTAGAGTATTATAATTCGGAAAGAAAGTATACAGTCAAACTCCAATAAGAATACAATTGTTATCCTTTAAGAAGAGGGAAGACGGATTCTATCAACATTCAATCTCTCCAAAAAAAAATAAATTAGACTAATTATAAAACTGGCTAACAAATAAATTTGATCAAGTAGAAAAGTGTGTATTATATGAAAATTTTATTTAAGAATTATTTCCCCCAAAAAATATATGAATTTTCATGCTACTACCTAAAATCTATAAATTTTAACAAAAACTGTTTATTAGGAAAATTCATAAATATATTTTATGCCATTTTTTGCGCAAAAATATTATATAACAAAATAGCTGTGAAAATTAATTTGTAGGTAACATTTTCATAGGTGAATTCTTTGAAAATAAAATTGATCTTTATTATTTTGCAGTAAAATTCCTAAATTAAGCTATTTGCGAATTTAGCTAGAAATAGTTACCTAAAAAAATTCAGGAGAGAAATTACTTTGGATCTTAATTATAAAAATTTAGCTACAAATTTATTGTATAGGAGTTTACCCCGAATTTTATATCAGGGAATCTATTGAGTATTTTATTATTGCGGAACAAATTGTAGATTTTTTTTGTAAGGATATACTTGGGGTTTTTCCATTAGCTGATGATTTTCTTACATGAAAGTAACATAAAAAAAATTGTCGCAAATTTACTTTGGGGTATTTTCTTATTATTTACTTGAAAATATTATGAATAGAATCATTAGATTTAAGATGTTCAAAATATTTATCAAATTATTTGAAGTTCAATATAATTAAAGTTTGATCCCATAAAAAAGTCACGGATATGATATCTTTTTGGGTTGAATATTAGAAATCATAAAGTATGGCATTACTAGTTACATATCTAATAGCAAAGTAGTTATTATTATTCCAATTAAATTTAAAGTAATATCATTAACAATGTACTAAATTGCTTATTACTTAATAATTAATCAAAAACGTAAGTAAAGAAAATATCATTTATATTGATTAATTCTTATATAAAACAATTACATTAATAATTTAGACCTTTAATGTCTGATTCATAATAATTTAGAGCTGAAGTTGTGTAACTATATTTGTGTGAGTAAATTCTGTCAAAATAATAATTCATACCATGAGATAACCATTATCTATAGTAATAGCATAATAGGTAACCAATTTAATATTTAAAGTTACGAATACCATAATAAGAGGCTTATGACTTAAATATATCCTTAGGTGATTTGATAGTGTAAAATCAAAACAGGTGCAGTACCTGTCAATTAGGACACCTGATCTTGACAGATGGAGCAGTTGATGGAATTCTCGGATTCGGTCAACAGAGACTATCAATAATATCACAACTTTCTTCACATGGAATTTCTCCGAAGTCATTTTCACACTATTTGAAAGGAGAGGGAAGCGGTGGAGGGATATTAGTGCTCGGTGAGATTTTGCATCCGAGTATGGTGTATACTCCCCTTGCTCCATCAAAGTATGTACTGCAATTTTCCACTGCGTTATTTTTTTCAACGTTTTATAAATTATTGTTGTTTTTTTGTCATGACATTTAGTTTGTTTCTTTTCCCAATTCTTGCAGGGGTCATTACAGTGTGTATTTGCAGAGCATTTCTGTACATGGAAGAATTTTACCTATTCATCCAGAAGCTTTTGCAAACTCTGGTGATCGAGGAACTATAGTTGATTCCGGTACAAGTTTAGTTTATCTTGTCGCAGAAGCTTATGAATCGGTTGTCGATGCTGTAAGTGTTCTTCTCATCAATCGTTCTCAACCACATATATTTTCTTGATGTCTTATTAATTAAGCTATCTAGTTCAGGTTTTGAATATAAATTATTTTGACATTTTACTTGATGATCAAGCAATTACAATTATTATATATATATATATATATATATATTAGTCAAGAAAATATAATAATTAAGATTCTAGATCCATAAAAAAATTTATCTTTGTCATGCCCCGAGTCTAGATCCTAGGTGGGACTGACACTCGATGCCTGACTCGAGTGTATCTTTTTTTTCGGTAACTAATCTTTATATTAATCATCAAGTGGCTTCAATTACATAACCATAGCCAAACAACACACCCTGTTGATTATCTCAAAAGTAATACAAAGACGACTAAATTAAGTCCAAGCATACTAAGTATGACTACCAAACCATCAGAAGACTAAACTACGCAAAAGGTGGCTGGCTACATCTGACAGGACTTCTAACATTACAAGCATATGCAATTTCTCTGGAAATTCCTCCCAATCTCTATTTTTTTTTTAACGATTCTCAAGTTTCTCTCTATCCACACAGCATGTATCACTTCAGCAAAGACTATTCTGAATAAAATAGCTTTTTGAGACTTTCCTTTAGCATGAGCTATAGTCCATTCAATATGTTGATCCCAGCTTCTCCAACTTTGTCCATTCCTTTCTAGCTGATTAGAGATTCTAGTCCAGATTTGAATCGTAAAACGGCAACTGACAAACAAATGTTTATTTTGTTTCGGCCCTTTCACTACACAAAACACAAATAGGTTCCACTACCATACCCCATTTATGTAACCTGTCAGCTGTTAGCAATCTTCCATGAAGATTTAGCCACATAGCAAACACAGCTTTCAGCCTTGCTTTGTGCTGAAACATAAGACATTTCCATGCCATCCTCGATGTCACCCCAAGAAGCGGCAAATATATTTGCCTGATCACACTATGTCCAAGCTTGATCTCAGTGTGGACCTGCGTAAGTGTTCCCCTGCCAGCAAGAATCATCTTCACCATCCAACATGCCTGAGTTGAAATATTCATTGCTCATGGCCTTTTATATAATATGCATGAATCCACCTGATACATAGTTTATCCCGCTTATGAGAGAGGTCCCGACGTTTCTTGGCAATAGCATCTTTGTTCCATACCGCTTGATTAATTAGATTGAGCCCTCCAGATGCCTTAGGTAGACATATTCTAGACCATGCTATCAATGACTTTTTCGTAATCTCATTTGAACCAGACCACACATTACTTCTATAATAGCCTTCAATCAACTTAAGAATCTTAGTAGGGATGATGTATAGTTGAGCCCAAAATGCTTGAATACCAAACAAAACAGTTTGGACCAATTGAACTCTCCCTACATAAGAGAGTTTTTTCGCAGTCCAAGATGAAATTTTGGCTATAATTTTATCAATGAGGGGCTTCCATTGCATTATAGTAACCTTCTTCGTTGATAATGGTATTCCGAGATACTTGAAAGGCAAATCACCTAGACCGATCCCTAAATGATTGAGGATATTTTCTTGCGTAACTTGAGGGACCCCACCAAGTGATATAACACTTTTTTTTCCAAATTTGTTTGCAAACCAGAGACTTTGGAAAAGTCATGAAAACATCTATACAAAGCTTTAGTAGATGTTAGATCCCCCTTGCAAATAATAGGAGGTCATCAGAAAAACTCAAGTGAGTAATTACTAGCGTATCAATAACATGATATTAGACATGAGTGAAAACATAGTTTAAAAACATTTGAAGAGTCTTTGCATATATCTAAGTCATAATATTAAAAAAAAGACACAGAGGTCTAAACTAAACCATAATTAACTGTCTATTTGTGAAACCTCTAAATATAACTAAGTAATGTCTACCGCGACAAGACCCCTGTTATACCTTAAACACATAATCATAAAATACTAGAAAATTGAATACTAAGCCCCATGAAAATAAAGGGACCAATAGCAGAACATATGAAACGTAGGGAGCGGCTTGATCACATGCATGCACACCCAAGTCTGCATCGATAAAAGAATTTTCAGCCCTCAACAGAATGTGAAATAGTAATGTATGTAAAATGACATAATAAAACATTACATACATACCAAGATCAATAGAAGCAACAACCATAGTTATGATCGTAACATAGGAAGGGTTAAGAGATGAGTTCATTTAATTAGACTGCCTTAGGGATATGTATTTCTAATATTTTAGTTCATTATAGGAGTATAATAGCATAACCAACAAAAAGCACCATGTAAGCGGTATAACCAACAAAAACCACCATGTAAGCGGTATAACCAACAAAACCACCATGTAAGCGGTATAACCAACAAAAACCACCATGTAAGTGGTATAACCAACAAAACCACCATGTAAGCGGTATAACCAACAAAAACCACCATGTAAGTGGTATAACCAACAAAAACCACCATGTGAGCTCATCTAGTTTAATCTCGGCCTGGTCAGCTAAGTCATTTCATACCTTACCGAACATGAGACATAGCCCTTACGGGAGGTAAAAAAGAATGAGTCATCTGAACCAACTGTATCATCCTTAAACTACGTCAGCAAACGTAATTTTAGGCATTCATCGTTTAGATTTATGCCTTCTCGATTAATCATTTATCTCCCTTATGCTCATGTATTCATGGATTAGCTTGAAGACTCATATTCATATCTTTTGAGGATTAGTTCATAAATTTTGTTTATGTCATGAGGTTACAGCCCATGTATCATATCTTTGCATTCATGAGAAATATATATCACATCATAATATTATAGTCAAGAAAACATAAGATAGCATCATAAGATTTATATTTGAAGAATTTCTTTGTTTATCATCAAGGGTTCATAAAATAGATTTTTCAAGAATTCATCAAGAAAATATCAAGAAACTATTAAGAAGTTAAAAAAAAATTGTTAAGAAATCATTAGACTTAGTTTTCTCGGTAAAAACCGTAACTTTTATGATTTTATACCTGAAATCTTATAAAAACTCAAGGGAATAGGATTCTTTTATGGAGGATTCTTGGGGTTCTATTAAAAATAAAGAATGATTAAAAGATATAGTCCTAACTTATTCATGTAAGATATTCTATATAAAAAAAACCTAAATAGAGGGGGTTTAGGGGGTTAGGAACCCTGCAATATGCTGTAACAGAGGTTTCAGCAACCCCCATAATTAAGTTGTGGCGGTTTTTCACTAACCCTGTGACAAGTAGCGAAGGTTATTTTGCGGCGGTTTGAACCCCCACAAATTGATTCTTAGAAGTTAGAACAATGCTCTAAAGCTAATTAAGCCAATAATTGTTCAAAACAACCGTAAATTTACAAGTAATGATATTGCTGTCAGCAATTAAAAAAGTTACATTATAAAAAATAATATCCAACATTTTACATTATAAAAAGTAATATCCAACGAGTTACCTTATAAAAAGTAATATCCAACAAGTTACATTATTAAAAGTAATATCCTAATGCAGTGGGGTTGTCTCCAAGTGCCCTTGTTTCACCCTTGTTTTTTTCTGTGATAAAGTAACCATAATTATGGTTGTTATCATCTCCTCCTACTCCAGAAAATACTCCATGACCGTAAATCTCCCCTGGCTCTTCTTCACCATAGACATCTAAGTTTGTGGTGATAAGTTCATTATCCTTTATCTCTTTTTTTTCGCCACAAATCTTAGCAAAAACGTAAGCCATTATGAAGCAGCTAAATAGAAACGGTACCCCAGTCTTAGCCCCCAAGTACTCCATGCCTGCAATTATACAATCTGGCTTGTCATTCGCTTATCGTTGACGTAAGGTATAGTTGAAATTGCTCATCATTCGCTTATCGTTCATCACAAAAGTGGTCAAGTACTCTGGCAACAATTCTGTCCAGCTGGTTACTCTTTCAGCATTCATATTCCTTCACTGATAACCATCCTTTATAATCTGCAAATATGTTTACATTACTTTCTCTCATTAGTATTGGCGTGCTTCTCCATGCTGTTACTAGAGATAGACTAGAAAATAAAATGTTTCAAGGGAATTTGGACAGTGGATTAATTTGTGTGGGGGGATTGCCAAAGACCAAATTTATTCCTATATCGACTTTGGATGCATGTTAGAGCTTTTTCTGTTGTGCATGTTGGATTTGAAGTTCCCTAGAACCATTCAAAAGTTTGCAAAGCCTGTGGGCTTTCAAAATTCTCCTGTGTTTTTTCCTTGATGGAAAATCTGTCAACTACTCCAGTATGTGGCACTTACTGACAAAATCATTGCAGCTTTACGTGGTCTACAAGCCACCAACTCCACCTCGATAACAAGGGTTGCTCTATATGTTTTAAGATGTTTCAAACTCAACAATTAGATTACCACAAAGAACACTGTCCCACCCAGCTCAAACCATTGTTGTTTTTTCTCCCCTTTCTTAATAGAGCACATAAGAATGTTGGGATCAGGAGGAGAACAAATTCTTCTCTTCAGTTAAAACCTCATAACTGAGACAAATCCAAGATTTGAACTTAATGGCTTCAATGTTAAGTTCTTAGAACTAAGCTTATCATACTCCCAAAGTTATGAATTGGATTTTAATATATGTTCAACTTAGTGGTTTTGCATAAATATATCTATGTACTGTGTCAATCGCACCGAGGGTACTATCAGAGATTTCATGACAAGAGACGCTTGCAGCACGTAAAAAAGATCTACAGAGTTAACTTACTCGGGAGAAGTATGGATGCAGATGTAGGTACAAATCTCAAAATAAAAAATTGCAAAAAGTTAGCAATAAACATTTGTGTTAGGATGAAGAAATCATCAATATTTTACGGCCAAATCATACCTTGGATGACAGATAATTCGTGTAGAGATCAATAACTTTCTTGAGAGCTAGCTAGGGTAAATTTTTTAACTTGGGAGGTGAACCACGACTTAGGAGTGTTATTAAATGTTTTTGACATGTGCTATCGCATAAACGACGTCTCAGGCACGCATCAAGGCAATAACCACTACCTTTGGTGCTCTATCGAGCAACAAGGCAATGTCCAGTAATTTGATGGACTATTTTCGTCATAACTTTTCAAATTCTAGGAGATCAAACAAAGTTGATTTCAACTATTCTTCTAAATATGTATTGAACTCTTATCTATCTAAATGTACAAAGAAGGTAAACTAATTTACCATTTTTCTTAACTTGAACATATAATTTGCAGATAACTGTAGTTGTGTCACCTTCAGCTAAGCCAATCACATCAGCAATGTACCCATGCTATCTCATATCCTCAAGGTTCAGTACTTTGTTTTCTATGGGTGAATATTTAATAAGATATAACTTGAATACCTAATTAAGTCTCTTTGATGACTTAAGCAGTTTTGCAGAGAACATAACTGAGGTGTTTCCAACAATTTCTCTAAACTTCGCTGGTGATGCATCCATGAATTTAACACCAACAGACTATCTCGACGATATGGGTTTTGTTGTAAGTATTTGTTTCGATCTTCATTTGTAATTTAAAATCTTCAACAATAAAATTCATACGTTTTATTTATGAAATACAAAGATAAGTTACAGTATTATATGCGTTTAACAGGATGGTGCTGCTAAGTGGTGCATTCGCTTTATAAAAAGTGGTTTAAGCCTAACAATTCTAGGAGGTCAGTTTTTGAAACTTTAGTGTTGATATATTTCATTTTAATATCCTGATCTTAGAATGCTGAATTTAAGGTTTTATGTAATTGCATCATAATTTAATTGTCATTCATACATTTCTTTCTCTTGTTACACAGATGTTGCGCTTAAAGATAGGATCATTGTATATGATTTGGCTCGACAAAGAATTGGTTGGGCTAATTATAATTGTAAGTAGCATTTTCATGATTTGATTTGTGATTTTGTTAAATAGATTTGATGTTATTGATGACTTACATTTTTATTTCATGTAGGTTCATTACCTGTGAACGTATCTATAACCTCTGGCACATATGATGTTACTCAGGCTAGCACGATCTATCATATGCTGGAGATAATTTTATTCTTCCTCTACCTATTTTGGACCAATGATTAATTTCATGTTTTTGTAGTTTTACTTTAGATTTCTCTTGTATTGTTAACTCCAATCATATAACCAAAAAAAAATAGTAATACTATTAAATAATAGGAGGAACATGTAAGAGGAAAAATAATGTAAAAAGAAAAGTTCACCTTGATATGGGCTTATGTATTTTGAACTTAAGTAAATTTATTCATAAAATTTAGTAAATATCAATTCGAAAACAGATTTACTTTTTAATTTTAGGAAAATCAACTTTTGAAATATATTAAAACCTTTTACATGAAAATCAAAATTTGGATAAGAGATAAAGTTAATTGCTAGGTTGAGACACTTCTTAAAATCCACAGAACACGGTTTCAATGGATTTTAAAACATTTTTGGTTAATTTCATAAATTCTTATTTTTACATAATATTATTATCTTATGAAACAAAACATTTGTCGCTTATCTGCGAATTTCATTTTAATATAAGTTGACTTGACTACTTAAGTTAACTAGATATTTCAACCACCACAATAATTCCAAGTAACTTAGCGTCTAATTGTTTTATCTTGTTTTAATTGGAAATTTATGCATCTTAATACTCTTCTAAAAAGGTTGTTGGGATGATAATAAGTAACAATAATGTTCTTTGCTGGTTAATGATAATTTAAAATTCTTCACGACGAAATAATCTCACGTTGTGACGAATGAATAAAAATATTAATATTCGGTATAATAAATCCATATATATTCCTTTTGTTGTTCAGTTCAAATATACGCATTCCCTAATATTTTGGCACACAATTTCCCTTAATTTTAACGAGAGATGTGAAAAGATCAAAATCAAATTATTCACTCATATCTTCGAGTTTAATTATTTCTAGAAGAAATAACGGGTTGGAAGCTTAATAGAGTAACATGTTTACGTTAAAACTATTATTTCTCTTCTAGCATGATCGTAAAGATCTAAGCTTTTAATAGTTGTTCTATTGACATTATTTGACTTGCAACCTTGTCCTACTTTGTTGGCTACCTCCAAATGATATAACGTCTACGAGTGGCATATTATGTTATTAGTGGACTAGAAAAACATGTTATGATTAAATTTTGATCAATTATGATTACTTGTTATTTTCTTGATATTTTGCATCTAACTTCTAGAAGCTTGTTTTGGCCTCAACAAACACATACACTAGCATACATATTCATTGTTATATTGTGCATACTCTTTTAAATCTATGGTTCGGTCGGTCCCAACCATTTACAAGAGTATAAAGAATCTATACTCGAGCATTTCACTAGGCCTTGGACAAGACAGGTGAGAAATCACTCATGGCTGGGAAGACTGTGCCTATGATCATGGTAGACCAAGTCTACGAGCAGAGTAGTCCGTGTAGGTTGTACCTACAGGGTGGCACATGTGTATTGTACCAAAGAGCTTTAGATTTGCATTCAGTAGAACAAAAAATAAATTTTAGAGGCAATAAATAAACACATTAATTAAGGGTGCTAAAGTCTTACCGTCATTAGTTAAGTGTCATTGGATCTAATGTCGCTAAATCCTTTAGGACACATACAAACAGTGTCAATTGCCGCTAAAAATATATATTTAGCGGCAATTGCTAATTAGTTGCCGCTAAAGTTCATTTTTATGTAGTGATTGATTTGTGGAAGACGTACATTCAGATTACAGATTGTCAGTGGGCTCCAGGTAAGAGGGCTAATATGGGTATTTAGCGATTGTTACTCTCGTTAGGAACTAAAGTGATTGTTACTCTCAGGGAACAATGCATTCAAACCTACAAGTCTCGAGTGGCACCCAAACAAACATGTCAAGTAGCACAACCGACCATCAAGCTTAATGGTTGGCCATGTTTTTTTTTGTTAAATTTTATAAAATAATTTGTGTTTTCAAAATAAATAAATATATTTTAAATCAAAGTTGTGTTTGACAATAAAAACAAATTGGAGTTTTTTTAAAAAAAATTTGGGTGAGTTATTTTGGATAAAAAAAGAAGTGAACAACTTTTTGTTGTTCTTAAAATTCTTGAATTCAACTTAAAGTTGAATTTCAAAGTTTTTGTGGCAAAATGTAATTTTTGGAGTTAACTCTAAAAAAAATGAACTTTTTATAGAGAAATGCTCCTAAAAAGAAATAGGAATATGAGATTATTTATCACAATAAAGGTATATGACATAAAGAAGGAAACAATAAACTATTTGAATTGACTAATGCCTTATTGCAAGTCATATAGAAACAAAACAGAAGGAAACAATAAACTTTCTTATTTGGGTAATGCCATGTTGCAAGTTACATTAAAACATAAATTAAATTCCAAATATATTATTTCTTCCTATTTCACGCTATGAAATTTTAATTCTTCAATTTATGTTTTCACTAGTTTCTGTAATTCGACCTTTGGGAGGCCGATGCCAACATTCACACCATTCACCATTACAATAATAGGGAGGTATATCGCCACAAATACGTTTACAGTCTGCGTCTGTCTTGCAACAACACCTGGGATTGTCTTTTGCTTTAACCTTTGATGAGACACCTATCAAATTAAATTTTACAATCTATAATTAATAGAAAAACAAATTTCATAAGAAGCTTTTCAAAGTTAACTTAGAAAAAAGCCCACACTTTGACAGCCATGTCTTAATTATTGTTTTTGTATGCTCCGTAAGTCACTTGATGATGATGTTTTGTTTTCTTTATGTCCTATTTATAGAATATTTAGTTGATTATATATTGTGAATCTTGTAATATAACTATTTTGTTTTTATCCTATGTTTCTTCTACCAAAAAAATTTAATTAAGTCAAACTAACCTTACGTGAAAGAGAAAAAATATTACTATGTAATTTTTCCTTTGACTAATATGATGGAATCACAAAATATATTTAAATATAAAAAAATTATTTTCAACGTAATAAATTACTCATCTAGAAAATAAAATATCACACAATCAAATAGAGGCTAAAGAATTTGAAGTTTATCAGTTGTGAATATTTTTCTTAAAATAATATGTTATTTGGTCTCGAACGAATAATTTTCATGTTGATTCAACTTAAAAAAAATAAAATGTGTTATTTATTAAACACCCCACTTAAAAAAGGTTATGTTTTGTCGAGTACAGATAATTAATGTAAAATATAAATATCATTCTTATAAGAGACTATTAATCAAAAGAAAGGTATATGACATGAAGAAGGAAGCAATAAGAATTCCTATTAAGTTAATGCCTCGTTGTAAGTCACTTAAGAATAGGAGTTGAATTTTATATATTTTGAACGGAAGAAACAACATGTCCCAACTTTTACTATTTCTTTTTATTTCATGCCATGAATTTTTTCTCAATTTATCTTTAACTAGTTTATAAAATTTAACTTTGAGGAGGTTGTTGACCACATTCATACCATGCGTCATAACAATAATAGGGTGGGATATCACCACAAAGGTATTTAGAAATGAGTCTTAATTATGAAATAACATATGGATGTATAGAAAGCACGTTGACAATTAATTGGTACCAATTTCTTATTATTGATATAACAATATGCACACAATAAATTGGCCAAGTATTTACACGTAACAACCCTCTAGGTAATTTATATGAAATGAATTCATCTCATCGCTAGGCTTACGAGTATTCCTATAACGACCCAATTCGTTTATGACCGTCTTAACCCTAGGCCACTAAAGCCATTGCATGGGGCCTCATATATTTTGGGGGTCCATTTTTTTTAAAAAAAAATCAATTACTGGGGGTACTAATGAGTGTTATGATTTGTGGTTAGGAAATTGCATATGAGATAAAAATAAACCTGAATTTCATAGAAACAATTTGATGTAAATATGATAGCGAAGTCACCAAGTCCCTTGAAGAATATTTTAGTGTTTATTTCTTTATATATGTAGGGTAGATCAACCTATTTTTTCACTTCACAAAATAGATTCGAACCAATTAAAGCATATGAAAATATTTTCGATATCTTATTTAGTGGTAAATTATTGAGATCAAGAGATGATGAGAATTTAGAAATATTGTCTTAACCTAGAACTTTATTTAACATGTAATAGTTCTTCTGATATTGATGGTTTATATTTATTTTTGTATTAAAAGTGTTAAGAGAAACAATACAAGTAGAAGATAATGATCTTACGAAATTACTCAACCAAATTAAAAGATTTGATTATTTTCCAAATACATATATTGCTTAATGTTAACAGTTCTTTAACCATTACATAAGCCAAAAGAAGTTTTTCGAAATTTAAATTGATTAAATCTTCTTTAGGATTAAAAAAAGTCTCAAGAGATATTGAATGAATTAGCTATATTACCATTTGAAAAATAATTATTAAAACAAATGGATAATACAACAATACCTAATGACTTCGCATCAAATATAGGTAGAAAAGTAGATTTTTAATTAAAAGTATATAATGAAAAAAATATTAGGTCCCTCTCTTCAGTTTTGCTTTATGTCCAAAGTTGTTAAGTTAGCCTTGCATCCCAATCACAAGGTCGTTAATTTGATTTTTCCACAAATTTATATGTTTTAGAGCTTTTGAAACATGAACAATTGACATCAATCAAAAGTTTCTATTAGCTCCACAACATTGAGTTTGGTCTAGAATGATCTTTTGTATGGATCCTGAGACTTCTATGCAAATTTCAAGACTCATTGTTCATTTTGGAAAAAATGAAGCTTGGGTGGGACTCACTTTTTTTCGAGAATACCTTGGTATGAAGTTTTAAAAATTTCAAATTTGGTTTGATAGCATATTTCATTTGTGCGCATAGAATTCTGAATAAATCTTGAGCACCCGTTGGATTTTCTAGAAATGGACAAACTAACTGATGTGCCTAAGCTGGTGTAACCTAGTAACGAGTTCATGCTCGGGGGTGGGGTGGGGGTGGGGGGGGCACTTTGACACATTCACAAAGGACTTATTTGTATGGTTTACAATTGCGTGGCCTTGACACAATTATGAGGGTGTATCTCATTTTACCTCATTCGTATTCTCTCGTTGTCGCGATCAGATAAGACGCTAACCCGCGTTGATCCCGTCTGAACATTGTGATCATGAAGTTTTACGTCCACGGTTGCAAGGAATCCAGACCCTTTACCCGAAGATTACAATGAATTAAGTGGTCTCATTTCTTAAAATAAGACCATATGCTATTTATTCTTATTCTCAAGATTGGTGATATGTCC